AGGTAGCCGGGAATGTTATTACACGAGATGGAATCCATTCCTTCTTAAGAAATAAGTAGATAAATAATTCTCTTGAGGGTTGATTCGGTACTTGGACCAGTAGGAGCTCTGATTCATGAATGTGTTTTATGAATCACTGTCCATTAGAGAATCAATGGTACTCAAGGATCAAGAAGTAATTAGAGAGGTTAACGGATTTTACCTAGCTCTAATTATGAATTATTTATGGAGGTTTGATCTATATGCAATGACTATATCAAATGGACACTTCACAGTTTGGAAGTAATTTATATCTATAATTTCGAGAGTGCAATTCCAAGTTTATAGTGGAGTAACTATTGGAATTAATAGAATTAATTAATTAATTAAAGTGTTTAATTAATTATTAATTTTATTGGAGCTCGGGATTGTAGGTCCATTAGTCCCCGCGTCGTCCTAGTAATTCTACCAGACACAGAGGGCAAAATGTGAATTTTAGAATTCTGTAATTAATTGAGAATTAATTATTATTTAAATAATGTGATTATTTAAATTTGAATTTGAACACATCTAGATTTATCCATTTAAACTTATTTGATAAGTTGTTCAATTTAGAAATTCAAATTAATTTAAGTTTGACTTAAATTTGAATTTGAATTTGAAATAAAATTGGACTACAGGATAAATGATGATTTTCTCTTCCTTCCCTATCCAGTATTGGCGCCACACACAGGGATAGGAATCCCTAGCATGGCCGGCCACAAGGGATAAGGGATAGAGGAGAATTTTGGTTCGAAATTCAAATTGGAGATAGAGATTGGATTCTTTCTAGAAGTTTGACTTCTACTCTATAAATACTATTTTTGAGACAATTTTCGGGATGGTTTTTTGCCCTAATTTTAGAGGTAGCCGAAATTTCTTTATAGAAATTTTGGAAACAATTTTTCAGCCCTAAGAGTTAAGGCTGGCCGAAATTCTCAAGAGAGAAAGGAAGGAAAAATTTTTTCTCCAAAAATTCCACATCGTGCATGTGATGGTGTTTGTGGAAATTCAAGTGTTTATTGTAACCCGTTTTGTCTCATGTGTGCCCACACACACGTCTTCGTGGATTCTAGGAATTGATGTGGAAGATATTGGTTTTCTAAACATAAAGATTAGAGCAAGGACTATTTGTGGTCAAAGAACTCAAGTTATCATCCGAGTCAGCTTCCAGGTATTTTTCCTGATTGAGTTCTTGATCTTTATAAGTTAATGAGATTAATTTATTCGTGCATAAATTAATATAATCTATAGAGTATCTCAAAAGTTTTATGAAAATTTTTGTTATACACGATCCGCCTCTTCCCCCCGCACCACCACGCTTCCGCACCCGAATTCGATTCGGGCAACCAACAAATTATTCTTTTACAAATCTACCCTTTCTTTTAGGGTTTTGTAATACTTCCTCTCATCAACCTTTCAATTCCCACTCTCTCTCACCCAGTCATTCTCTCTCTCTCTATCATTTTTCTCTCCTCTCTCAACAACGACGATGACTTTTAAATTGTGTGTTTCAGATCGCGACGTCCTCTTGGTGAACGTCAGCTCAAAAATTCAGGCTGCACCTCTAGAGTTTTCTCTTTGAACGCCTTCTCAGCGAACATCAGCTTAGAAATACCGGAGGGCCGCCATCAACGCCGGAGAACTTCAGCTTTTGCTTTGGCAATGAAGTCGACACTGCCGATTGTCTGCACTCTCATCGGTGGGACCTGGAACCAGATCCGGCGGAGGAGATCGCCATGATCTCTGGGAATGTTGCCGATGATCACACGTCTTCTCCAACGCCGTCAAGAGCGACTGCCGTCAGCCGATCTCCTTTCTCTCTCTCTGTCCCAGGTCTCTCTTTCTCTGTTCTCTCTCTCGCTCTCTCTCTTTGAAAACGCTTTCTTACTATTGATCTCTGTAAAATCGCCTCCAACTCCAACCGAGGTCCGATGACAATGGAGGAGATTGCCGAATTTTTTCAGGAACCAGATTTGGCAAGACAAATCACCGCCTTCTAAACAAACTAGATCCAGTCGACTACCAACAAACTTTTTCTTTTGTTTCTTATTTATGTGTTTGTATATTTTGGGCATTGTATTTTTCTCCAAAGTAATTTTTGGTGATTCTGGTTGTTTGTATTATTTATTACTTTTGAGTTTTGAGTTAATATTGTATTTACAGTAAATACATCACTGAATCCAATTTTAAATCTAGTATATACTGTATTTATGAGTAAATATTTCTCTAAATTCGAGTTTGAATATGGTCAATACTGTATTAACTGGTAAATACTTCACTGAATTCAAGTTTAACTATTATAAATATTGTATTTACCAGTAAATACTTCACTGAATCTAATTCTTAATATGGTAAATAGTGTATTTACTAGTAAATATGGCATTTAACGGTCGCCGGAGTCGGTGGCCAGATTTTCGGATTAATATGATATTTAGGAGTAAATTCAATATTTAGATGTCGATCCTGGCGGCTAGATTTTTAGATTAATATGATAAATATGTTATTTACCAGTCGCCAGAGTCAGTTGTCAAATATTCGAATAAATATGGTAAATATGATATTTACCATTAAATATCGTATTTACCAGTCGTCAAATTTTTAGATAAATATGATATTTATAAATAAATATGATATTTATCGATAAATACGATATTTATCGATAAATACGATATTTATCAGTCACGGGAACCGCCCGCCGAAAAAATGTCTCCGATTGCTGAAAAATGGCCGCCGGTCACTAGAGTGGACCATAGTGAACTTGACTATATGGAAAAAAAGAAATAGGTAGGAAACTTAGGAATTGTCTCTGGTTAGGCACTTGGAAAGTGGCTGACCAGTCAGGCACTTGTATAATCGTGTATAAATTGTGTATATTTATACGTAAATTATGTATATTTACATGTAAAGTCGTGTATATTTAACATGAAATACAATAAATCAGTTAATATACATATTTTCATGCTATGTGTTCACTAATTACTATGAAAAATACATGTTTTGAGGATCAATATACATTGTCATTTCTTATAAGTTAATATACACGATTTACATGTAAATATACATGATTGCACAATTATACAAGTCTCATGTAAATATACACAACTTACCTATAAATATACACAATTCATGCACAATTATATAAGTGCCTGACTAAGGACCTTGCCGGAAACTTAAGAGTATTTTTGATTTTTTAATAATATTTAAAACTTAAAATATCAAATTATACTCTAATCTATTATCTTAAAAAATATGATATACGTGCATTTGGTTCATGGATTCAAATCATGTAATTAGAACTATTTTTAATTTACGTGTATTTTTTGTAAGAGAAAATACTGTAGCGAACCACGAACTATGATTCGAATTAAAGAACGAATCTAAAGTACCAAATGGACTCTAAGGGCCCGTTCACTTCGCCGATTCGAGTTTATAATTCGAGTTGAGATGTGATTTTGTGTGAGAGCTTTTTATTGTAATAAAAAAGTTAAATGTGACTGTTTCTGAGAGCTTTTTACTGTAACAAAATTCAAATTCTAAATTCGAATCGACAAAATAAACGGGACTTAAATGTACTATTCTCTCTTTTTATAACTGTCAAGGCTAAGAAGTCGTAACTGGACTATCGTATGTGATGTGAGTCCCGAAGCCAATTGATTTTTTTTTTATTTTGACAAATTTTAACAAAAGTAATTTCTAAAACTACTTTATTAATATTTATGCAAAAAGAAAAGGGCAAGGGCAAAAGGAACAGTAGACATACAGTGTAAAACATAATTGATTTCCCAGTGTGGTCTGACAAGGAACAAATTTGAGTACAGTTCTTAGAGCCGTAGAGTGGTGAGTCGGTGACCTAGCTACTCTCTTATTGCCGCACCCGCATCCTCATGAAGGAAAAAAGGAGGTCACAATTCAATGTAGTTTGAACTTTGAATTTAATGGAGGGGAAGTACTAAAAAAGGGCTTTTCTTTTAAATTAATATTATTGCTTTTTGTAAATCTAAAATGGAGCAAATTTGAAATGTCCTGAACCAACGGCATCGAAATAAAAGAACTTTAATTTCCAAAAAAGAAAAAGAAATACATAATTTTTTTTCTAAAGTAATTTACTAGGATTTTTAAAAGTAAAAATATTGAAAAAAGCCATTTCCGTTATTCCACAAAAATATCAAAATATGTCAATAGAAGAAGAAGAAGATCAGAAGAAGAGTTATTCATTAGTATCTTTGATCACAGTATTAACTTGTCCAAAAATGCTATAGATTTTGGTTCACTAGTTCTTCATCCAATCAAGAAGCTTCTTCCTATTTTTTCAGTCCAAAAAACAAATGAAAAAGAGGGATTATTGTGAGGCTAGCTAGCATTTCTTATATGCTTTTGGTCTTTGAATGATTGAATGTTAAAATTTAAGATCTCGTTTATTTTATCAATTTAAGTTTTTAATTTTAAGTTTTTACAGTTAAATTTTTTTTAAAAATATAACATATATATTTTTCTATTACAATTAAAAATTTTTAAAAAATATTATATCTTAATTTAAATTAAAAATTTAAATTCGTAAAATGAATGAAGCTTAAAATAAAAAAACATTTGACCTGATCCCTATCAGACATTTTGGAATCTTTCACAAAGAGACCAATCAAAAATATATAAACTAAAATCTTTTTTTTTTTTAAAAAGAGTAATGAAGCAAAAAAGAAAAAAGAAAAAAAAAAGTAACTGGGGACCGAACAGTTTCTAATGGGGCATCTCATTTCGTTTCAACTAGATCACCCGACAGACACACACCCCTTTGCTTTTCAGTTTTCTCCGACTCCTTTTCTCTCTTGCACAACGTACACAACTTTTCCTTCTCAAAATAACATTACTTTTATTATTTTCCTTTTCCATTTTTTTAAATTGTTATTATAACACATAACCACGCCTTTTGATGTCCCCCAAAACCCTCTTTATTCCCTGAGCATCTCCAAAAGCTTGTGCTCTCCACGTCCATCGAACTTTGAATCCTTCAACCATTAAAAACACCACTTCTAGTTCTAGTTCTTCCCAAATATATTTTTCTTTTCCTACCAACCAAACAGAAAGAAAAGAAAGATCAGAAACTCATGATAGAGTTCGACTACGACGAGCTTGTAAAGGCCACGGAGAGCTTCTCTCCCTCAACACTCATCGGCAAAGGAAGCCACGGATCCGTCTACAAAGCCAAACTCACAACAAACGACAACAACAAACTCGTCGCCGTTAAAAAGCCTTTTCTCCATGCCCATGAAGAAGAAGATCACGACCGTTCCAAGCTCCAAAACGAGATTCGAGTCTTGTCGTTTCTGCGACAGAATCGGCACGTCATCGATTTCCTCGGGACCAGCCGAGGAAATGGAAATAATCGGCAGCAGCAGCAACAGGTTCTGGTGATGGAGTACATGCCCAACGGCTCTCTCCACGACCTCCTCCATGTCAGCGAAACGCCGCCGTCTTGGCCGAAGCGCCTCGAGATCGCGGTCCAAGTCGCCAGGGCCGTCCGATTTCTCCACGACGAATCTCAGCCCTCCGTCGTGCACAGAGACATCAAGTCGGCGAATGTCTTGTTCGACTGCGATTTCGTCGCGAAGCTCGCGGACTTCGGCCTCGCCGTGCTCGTCCACGTGGATAATCCGGGTCAACCCGCGGGGACGATCGGGTACTTGGACCCGTGGTACACGAAGCCGGTC